AAGATTTATCTGGGAACACAATATATGATCTTAAAAAAATAAACAACATTTTTAGGGATTTCTATGAAACTTTATATACACCACAAATAAACCCATCTAAGAACGAAATTGATCAATTTCTCGACAACATAACTCCTCCAAAGTTATTAGACACCCAAGCAATGGCACTGGATTCACCACTGACACCAGGGGAACTCCAGGAAGCTCTGATAAGTATGCCCAATAATAAGGCTCCAGGTCCAGATTTTTACAAAGAATTCTGGTCGATCCTGGCACCAGTTTTTCACAGGATGTTGCAGGAAATCAAAGAAAAATGGCAGACTACCACCAAACATGAACTCTGCAAATATCAGTCTCTTACTAAAACCAGGCAAAGACCCTGTATTTCCTTCAAGCTATCGTCCAATAGCCCTTATTAATGTAGACCTTAAAATAATCTGCAAAGCTCTCTCAAAATGTTTTTGAGAGAGCTTTGCAGTGGCATCTTTCTTGGCCTTAAGACAACAATTCTAATGGCTAAAGATGCAAATGGGACACACACAAAAATTAATTTAATTGTGATACCAAATCCAGATGAAAGTGTTTTTACGTGATGTTTAAAAAAATGAGGAAGCTGATCTCTGTTTTCTGAATTTACTCTTTCCTGTTTTAATTCCAGTCAAACTAATTTAAACAGCACAGACGGGACGCGCTGTCCTTTAAACAGGTTACAGGGATCATTTAAATGGACGCTGACTGTAAAACACGGCTCAGAGCGAGCTCAGCCTCATTTGACTTTCAAACTGACTGCAGATGAGATCAGGAAGCAGAGCCTGCAGCCACACCACTGTTACACACAGCTGCAAGTGTTGGATAACAAAGAGCTGCATGGAAAACACGCGCAGAGAAACAGGTTTAAATAGGTTAGCTGTGAGCGCCTGTTAAAGAGGAAAGAAAGGCACAGACGCGTGGACACATTTGTGAGAACAGATAACAGGACAAAATAATACATTTTCTGGATTTTTCTATTCTCATCAGAAAATGTTAAAAAAAGTCACTGATTTTAAAATATGTCCCAGTTCCTCCCAAAGACCTTTGTTTCCCTAAAACAACCTCGTCCATTAATTACTGTTTGACTCGATTATCCCCGCGGGGGGAGCAAGTCCACAGAAGCGCCTGATGAAGGTGGAGAGGAAGAGCGTTTGGCAGGAGGTGGCCTGCACTCTGATAGCTGAAGCGCTGCGTGTAGAAGCAGAGTTGCTAAAAGAAAGAGCTGAGCACCTTTATTGTTATTTTTAATGGACTCATCACTGTCATCTGGCTGTGTTCCGACTGTCTGTAAACATGCAGTCGTGCAACCTGTTACCAGGAAAAGCAGGCAGCAAATTACAGGCCGATTTCTAAACTCCCTTCATGTCAAAACTTTAGAGAAACTAGTGCTTCAGCAACTACAGACCCACTTAGAGAGAAACGGTATAAGTGATAAACTCCAGTCTGGATTTAGACCGCGTCACAGCACCGAAACTGCCCTACTAAGAGTCTTCAATGACCTTCTTCTCATCGCCGACTCTGGGCGCTCTGCGGTCTCAGTTCTATTGGCTTTGACTTCAGCCTTTGACACGGTTGACCATGAAATCCTTTTGGCAAGGTTGGAACAAGTAGTAGGCCTTAAAGGAAATCTCTCATGGTTTAAATCATATTTCTCTGAGAGGTCGTTCGCTGTCATGATGCCCCAGGGCTCGGTCCTGTGTTGTTTTCTCTGTACATGCTGCCCTTGGGCTCCATTTTTGAAAAGCATAATGTCTCTTTTCACTGCTGTGCTGATGATATTCAAATCTACCTTCACCTGACTGGGGATGTTTCATCTTCACTACATCCTCTGTTTGATTGTCTGAG